TCGTTTACAACAGCTTCAATGGAGTGTGAAAGCTTAAAGGGCAAATTATATACTAACTCCGCCCACAGCAAAAGACAACACCCAAGGCTCTAAAGCTTGAACTCCCGAAACCAACGATGAAGTCCAAAGGCCTATGCAGAGGGAGGAAAGCCTAAACCCAAGCCCTTAAACACGTAACCCCTGAACTCTTTAGGGTGTCCTAACCCTTAGCACTTAAACCCTAAGCCCTGAGCCCTTTAAGCTCAAACGCTACAACCTCAAACCCTCAGAACCCCTCCGGCCTTAAATCTAAGTCCCTGAACCCTGAAAGCCCCGAGCCCTAAACCCTGTGGGGGACGCCACAAAAAGCCCAAAGCCCGAAAAGACCCTAGAATTCCTAAGCCCTAAAACCACCTGCCCTGCACCCTTTATGGAGCCCTTGAAGGAACCCGTATGCATGCGTATACGTATGTATGTACGTATGTAACTGTATGTATATCTACCTTAATATACTAAAGCAACCTCCACCCGTACATACATACTTACCTACATACATACATGCATGCATACCAACATACCTACATACATACACAAACATAAACACTTAGTTATGTATAATATACAGATATATATATATATACACCACATCAGGTTTTGAAATCTGTATACGCCTCTTCAAGAAACCCCTAAACGGAACCCCCCCCCCCCCAGAGGTCGCTGAGGCGAAGCATCGGGAGAGCCAGAAGGAGCAACTCCGAGTGCTGCGCTCAGTGGATTTCGCTTCCCTTCCCCAGACAGTCTCTTTGGCAAGCCCAGCGGCACCTCCGTAGGGGTATTCCCGCTGTGGCAGAGTGGAACGGTGGTTTTTGTTTGCTCTGGGTTTTTGGGATTTTCGGGCTAGTAGTAGAGTAGGTAACCTTTAACCTTTTTTGTGTAGTATAGTCCCTATATAATCCTTACATAGCCAAAAAGGTTAACCGTGGATGGTTGTCAAAATTAGGGTCCTTTTTGGAGTCCTTAAAATCATACGACACCTCTTATTTAGGGTACTCAAGAAGTAATCCTAATTTTGACAACTACCCAGGTTCTGAGGATTTTCGGGCTTTAGGGGTTTATCAGGGTTTTAGGTTCAGGCTTCAGCGGTTTTGGGTTTTGGGGGGTTTGGGGTTTAGGGTGTGGGGTTTAGAATTTCAGGGTCTAGGGTTTAGAGTTAGCAGCTGCTTTGCTGCACCCAGTGGTTCAGAGTTGCTTTTTTATTTTTATTGCGGGTTCCTTGAAGGGCTCCATAAGGGCCCGAAACCCCTGAACCCTAAGCCTTAAACTCCTAAACCCCTACACCTTAAACCCTGCGGTCCAGAAAGACCTGGGATCACGTTGAACCCGAAGCTCCTTAACCCTAAGGGTCTACTGGGATGCCCAGTAGTACCCTTATTCCCTTTTTGTAGTCCTAGGTTCCTTATAAAGTTACCCAATACCAAAAAGAGAGAGGCCTTTTTAGTCTTAGGTTACTGGGTATCCTAGATATACTTTGGGCCCAATCTACCTATATAGGGAGTACTGTAAGGCCAAAGTATATACTATTTGGGGTACATGGGCGATTCCATAATGGTACCATATATGAAGCCTTTGGGGAAGCGCCTTAAGTACCAATATGGGAGTTTGCGAAAATCAGGGGTACCTTATTTAGGGGTCCTTTCGAAAAGGATCCTAGTATTTAGGGTTCTATATTAGAGTCCCCTATTGTCGGAAACCCCCATAATAGACTGTGATAGCTGGTCTCGATAGTAGGAATTACTTGTACATGGTTAGAGTACTTGGAGGATCTTGGGACTTAGAAAGTATGGTTATAAGTACCTTAAGTGGGTTATAAGTGTCATAAGTAACCGTAAGTATGGTTACCTTCTTGAACACCCTAGTTACTATGTCCCACGATCCTTTAAGTAAGTACCCCTCACATAGGTAATTGGGACCCTTTGGGTACCCCATTGGAGCCAGCTGCCTGGCGAGGAATATTCTTGACTCCCTCCGGATTGGGGTTCTGCAAACTATACTTACTGTAACGGCCCTCACAGTTAGAATGCGGTTTTGGGGGTTCCTCATTACATTTGAAGTTTAATGTCCCCCACAACCCTAGTCTAATTTTTAATTAAGCCCTTTATATCATAGAACCCTACTATGCATCCCTTGTGGACCCCTTTAAGGAACCCTCTACAGGAACACGACTCTAATTATCAAATCACTTACAATAGACGCTTGAAGCCCCCCCGACCTGAGGCTTTAAACCCGAGAATCTACATCTGCTTCCCGGGGTTGGGTAGCTTTGGTACTGTTGATGGACAAAATCCCCTTTCACGGTTGATGGTATAAATCCCTAGGGTTCCTTTAAAGGGATCTATAAGGGGGATCTATAAGGGTACCCTTAAGGGGTTCCTTTAAGGGATCTATAGGGTTTATAGGGCTTACGGTATAAATCCTGCATTACCGTAAGGATCCTAAACTATGGGAATTATGGTATATTCCTTATTATGGGTCATGCCGGATTTTGTCCATCAACAGTATCAGCCAAAGCCCTGAACCACGGCTGATGGACAAACTCCTGGTGTGACGATCCCAAGATCGGATTATCAAGCCCTTCCAAGATCCCTTAATTAAGGAATATACTTTAAATTATGGTAGGATCCCTAATATGATTTAAGGTCTATTCCTTAATTAAGGGATTTTGGAAAGTCTGGGTATCAAGCCTTCTGCCTGCCTTTGTGCAGTCGCTGCTGGCAGCTCTGGCTGATGCGGTGCAAGCCAGAGCCCCCGACGGGCCTTTTGGGCAGGGGTTAGGCTTTCAGGGATTGGTGTCTTGAGGTTTGCAGGTTAAACACTGCTCTATGCTTGTGTTTAGCAAGCTAGGTGTTCTGTTTCTGAGAGTTGTCCTTCGCTTGTGAGATATTCTGCAAGCTACGGTTGACAATATAAAGCCTGCATTACCCACAATAAAGGAATATGCCATAATTCCCATAGCCCAGGATCCTCCAGGTATTGCAGGATTTACATCATGAATCCGAAAACCCTATAGATCTCGGTAAAGGAACCCCAGAGTTTCATATCATCAGCCGAAGTTCGTGTAGCCACTGAGATGAAGCAGTGAGTCAGTCAACAAACCTAAATCCTAAACCCTAAAACGGGTTTAGGGTTGTAGTAATCCTTAACAGGAACCCAGGAACGATTATAGTATCCTTTTAAAGCAACCCTGGAGTACTAGGACTCAGGGAACCATTATAGTAATCTTGTCGGAATATGGGAGCTGAAAACAGGGGACCCTAATGTAGTACCCTGAATAGTAGGATCCTTCTTGTAAGGACCCCGAAACGACTTTTTCGGAAACTCCCAAAGGGAGCGGAGCATATGGAGACTTGTCAGTGTTTGTCGTCAGTGCATCATGTTATCTATCAGTCAGTCTGTCGGTCAACCCCCCATCAGTTAATCGGTCAAGCAGTAAGTTGGATACCTATGTAGTGTATCAATCCACTGGGCGGTTGAATGCTTCTGAAATGATGTTGCTTGCCAGTGCCAGCATTCGCAAAAAACGAGAGCCACAGCGAATCTGTTAAACAGCGGCAATATTCGGTCAAGATGCTGATGCAGATGGCGATGTCATGGGAGATGTGCGTACGTGACCATGCATGGCACTTGGAGGATCATGGAACTTAGTAAGTAAGGTTATAAGTTATAAGTCCCTTGATTGGGGTTATAAGTATAGTTACCCTAAGTATAACCCTAGTTACTAAGTCCCATCATCTTTTAAGTAGCCGCAACGAACATGGACTGCGCAGGTATCTAGCAGAGTCTAGCATCTTCGAAGTTCTCCATGGCCCCTTTTTCACAGGAGGCCAAAAGAGGTTTCAGCCTGCAGGGGTTTAGTAGGGATTGGGGTTCCCAAATAGGGTTCATATTAAGGAATCCCTTCCCCTAGAATCTGAAACCCCCTTTTGGCTTCCCATCACTTTTGTCGGTCAATGTGCTAGTCGCGTGTCACCCGTAGTACTTGGAGGGGCAGGGGACTTAGTAAGTAGGTTATAAGTAGAGTTATAAGTACCCTAAATGGAGTTACCCCAATTATAACCCTACATATAACCTACTTACTAAGTCCCCTGCCCTCCAAGCAAGCATGCAGCACTCTTGTGTTCACCCTTTGCGGGCAACTTTCTCATCGACTTGTGCAGGTGCTGCATGCACCCTCGGGTGTTAGATCTGGATGAATATTCCTGTATTCCCGGTTATTCAGTGGTACACATGCTTGTGCATGGTTTTAGGCGCTGAATGTCATGGAACATCATAGAGCTGACCCCGAAGCATGATGTTACTTTCTTTTCTCAGTGGTCAGTGGTCTACTGCACAGAACCGAAAATTCGAAAGTAAACTGCTTAAGAGCAGCCTGCTGAGAATAATCTTTTGACCCAGTCTCAACAAGTGTATCCACGTTTGTCTGGTTGGGATGTCTTATCGTCCCACTTGTGTTAGCTGAGTTTGTGCAGGTGATGTATTGTTACTTTCTTTCGAGTAGCACTATTGGTGTCATTGTCACTACGACTTAGTACCATACTGCATTGTTCACGTCACGGTTTTTGTGGCGGGTGAGCTTGCTGCTACTTTTTGCCGGGTCAGTCCGCCTACTTGTAGGGCCCTGGTTGCAATTCCCGTGAGTGAGTGCATATTGGATACTTCGACGCCTATGTCTGGGGCTCGGCTTTGATTTTCAAGTATTCATGAACTCAATGGGCAGTATGATTTCCAAAAGCAGCAATTGTCCATGTGGTGCTAAGCATCCTGCACCTGATTTTATATACCCTAGACCCCCAAACCCCGAAACCCCATACCGTCAGAAAAGCAAAGCCTGAGATCGTACGTCCTTACTCGCACCAGCAACGTGAAGACAAGTGACCATTGCAGGCACAGCATCTACACGGAAGTGCGGCCGGTACGCAGGTTGGCCTAGACCCGCTGCTGCTTCACTATACGAGCAGTCGAAGATGTCAACAGCCCGCTCCGAGTGCATTGAATCTACAGGTGCTCAGACACGACCTTTAAAGATCAACATCGGCGGCGAGAAGCTCATTGCTGTTGCTCCTGACTTGTTCGACATCCTCGGTGAGAACAAACTGTCTTCAATGCTGTCAGGGCGCTGGCAGACATTGCGCGATGCAGATGGAAGCATTCTCGTGGACTACTCGCCGGATGTGTTTCTGCCACTCGTGGAATGGTTGCGTGACATGCGAGATGTCGAACCTGATGTCCACATCAGTGTGCAGGTGAGACCAGACCGGAGGTATGCCTGGATCCGAATGATGAGGTCTTTTGCTGTCGATGTGCTCCACCTCGCGATAGCAGGAATCACCTTCCAAGAACTTCTGAACGTGGGGTATTCGTGCTCACAGCTCTCCTCTGTCTACGACCCTCCGGCCGCAGTGTGCCTATCCACCGGCATGTCTGCAGCAGAACTTCTACAGGCAGGCATCTCAGAGTCGCATCTTCGGGAGGCAGAGAACCGGCTTGCAAGTTTCAACGCACGCCACTCCATTACTAAGCCCCCTCGGCCCCAGCTTCATGAATGCGAACAGGTCCCACTTCTCGAATGTTACCGAAAGAGACGCTGGCCCAAGTGACTTCTTTCCCCGGCGCCGCCGAGACGGAAAAGGTGCCGTGTTAGGAAACATAAAGGCTATGTAAGTCCTGCAGCGTAATATAGGCGCCCAAATATATACAATTACATATACATATACATACATACATACATATATATATATATACACCAGTACTGTTGTGGGGGGCTCCTTACCATGTATAATTTTAGTATAATGGGCCCCAGGCCCTAGTCGAATTAATACGGCCCGAATAGTATCCTAAAGCCCTCCTTTGGCTCGACCTACTTAAACGATCATGGGACTTAGTAAGTAAGGTTATAAGTAGGTTATAATTAGGATAACCCCACTTAGGGGACCTATAACCCCAGTTATAACCTACTTACTAAGTCCCATGATCCTCTAAGTACCGACTCTTTGAAACGTACGATGCTGAATCAGGGGCCACTGTCTACAGTTTGTGTAGCCTCTCCGCATAAGCCTATACTTTGACAGGATGTAAGGCTCAAACTAGCCCGGAAGCTTTCTTTAGAATTTAATTTGGGCGCCCAAAGTCGTACATGATCAACCCTAAGAGCCCGAGAGGGAAAACATGCCCAAAGTCGTACATGATGAGCCTTCCCAAAGGCTCCATGTACCCTTATAGTAGATACTTAAGCCCCAATGTAGTCTCTATATAGGTACTTTAAGGCCTAAGTATCTACTATAAGGGTACATGGAGCCTTAGGGCTTAACAGCCCGAGGGAACACATTCAAACAGTGCTTTCCTATTCCCATTTGCCCGAGCAGGCATATTCTCATCCACAAAATGCACGGATGCAAAGGGTCCAAAGTACCGATATAGTCGAATGTCATGTAGGGTTTCTATACTGGGAATTGCTATTATGATTTGGGGAAATATTTCCCATAACAGTACAAAGGACCCTTAGCGAGATGCAAGATTCAGAGGACATCTGCTTAAAAAACAGCTGCAAAGCCGGTTGAGGGTTTAGGGTTCAAAGCCTTCCAATGCGATTCTGAGGTTACGGAGGAGGTCACACTGACGGGTGACTTCGATGAGATTGCACGAGCCTAAGGCTTTAGGATTTCAGGGACTATTTGGGAGTGAGAGTTTGCAAATTACAGTTCTCTAGGATGCCCAGTAATTAGTACCATTATTCCCTTTTTGTAGTCCTAGGTTCCTTATTAAGTTACCCAATACCAAAAAGGGGAGCCCCTTTTATTCCTAGGTTATTGGACGTCCTAGTTCTCATAGGGTTCATTTTAACGGTCCTCTTCAAGGGTGTCATGGGTAAAAGGTCTCATAAGGTTTAGGGTGTTTTTTGTGAGGACATGAATCTTGGAAGGATCCTTTACTTAGTAGCTGAGTGGATACACTTTGCACTTTTGGGGAAATATGACCCACTATAAAACTGAAAGTGTACACTTCTGAACTCAGCAGCTAAGTTTAAGATGATTAAATTATTAAAGGGTTTGCTAGGGTTAAAGATCTAGAGGACATAGTTTTAAGGTTGAGGCTGCTACTGGGTTCAGAGTCCCACAACTTAGGGTTTGATGGGGTTTAGGAGGGGTTTTTGGGACTTAAAGACCATCATATTCGAGGTTTTTGCGCTAGCTTTTGGACTTAGTGCTCCCCTAACTCAACAGGGTTCTTCTGGGGTCTGCAGCGGTTTAACCCACTTACTAAGTCCTCTGAGTATCCGGCCTCACCCAAAAAGGACCCTAAACCCTAAATCCCTAAACCCCGTAAACCCCGTAAACCCTAAACCCTAAACCCCAAACCCCTAAGCCCCTCAGCCCTTAACCCTAAACCCCTAAACCCTAAACCAGGTCGGCAAGAACAGAGACGACTTCATCTTTGCCCGGGCGCACAGTAGATGGCCAAAGCTCTTCTTTTCAGAGTTTGGGGGTTTAGGTTTTGGGAGTTTAGGGGTTTAGGGTTTGGGAGTTTAGGGGTTTAGGGTTTTAGGGGTTTAGGGTTTAGGGGTTTAGGGTTTAGGGGCTTAGGGTTTAGGGTTTAGGGTTTAGGGGTTTGGGGTTTAGGGTTTTGAGATTAGGGTTTGCGGCTTTGGTGTGTAGGCTTTGAGATCAGTTGCCGTGGATTGGGTCTCCGCCCGGAAGAACGCAAGGAGCGAGCTGATATAGGGGCCTTAATATGTAGAATAGGGCTTTGGGGCCCAAATAGTATTGGTACTTAGTTAGACCCCTATATTGTGCCCTAAACCCTAAACCCTGAACGGCATTCGGGGTTTGGGGTTTCGATGGTTTTGGGCTTTGCCTTAAGGGAAAGGAAGGCGGCCAAACCTCGAACCTCGCAAGCAATGGCCCAGGTGCCTGGAGAAGGTGCATGTTCAACCCGAGACCCTAAACTCCCATTAGGGAATATACTTTAAACCATGTTAGGGATCCCATTATGATTTGAGCTACCGTTTTCGTGTGCGTCTGTGCGTGCCAACTTAATGATCAAGTTCAGATGCTGTCAAGAACCAACCAGTAGAGTGGCACTCGACTCACTCACAATACAACGACTAGTACTAACCGTACGGGGCCATGTACTCATATAGTATATACATTGGCCTTCGAGTACTCCGTATATAGGTACATTGGGACCAAAGTATATGCTATATGGGTACATGGACCCTCAAGGAATTGCAAGGATTAGACTGGCTCCAAGGAACACATCTTTTCACACCTCACATTGAACGTGTCTTGCTGGACTAGTTCCTGCTCGTTCCTAAACGCTAATGTCGGACCCTAAACCCGATTGCGGCTGCAGTGAGGGTTAAGGCTTAAGGCTGATAGGGCCAGGGTTTATGGCCGCCCTGATCCCTTAGCTGCCGCAAGCCGTAAAACACCGACAGCGGAACGTTACGTTTTATGATGGGTTCAAGGCGCGAAGCCTGGTGGCTCTTTGTTACGTGCGTTTTGCTTGTTGGTTTATGGTCACTTGCATCGGGATGTCACATGCCAATGCTTACCATTTGGCAGGACTAGCGCAGGTGAGTAGCGGTTCAGGACCTGGTAGGGTCAGTGCATCTGCCTATTGTGCAGTATATGTGCTTTGGCTGTTGTTGAGTTGCTATAAGCTGGCAATGATTTAAGCAAACCCTACCTTAACTCCAGATAACCTACCCTTTTTACGGACCTTAGAAGGGAATGTTTCATAGGGTCCAGGTGAGCCCTAAGGCCTAAACCCTAAGCCCTAAACCCTAAGCCCTAAACCCTAAACCCTAAACCCTGCAACTTAAATCCTAAGCCCTCAGCCGCTAAACTTGGCTCAGGGCCCTGGTGTGGTTGGGGGACTGAAGACTAAGACCTCCCTTAAGGGTTCAAGGGATCTCATAGGTTTAGGGTTCAAGGTGACTCCCAAATCCCTTAATTTAGGAATATACCTTAAATCATATTAGGAATCCTATTATAATTTCAGGTATACTCCTTAATTCAGGGATTTTGGAAGTTCTGGGCTCCGCGATCCCCTACTAAGTAAGGGAACCAAGGCCTCTCCTGAGCTTCAGGAACCGGGCACTCGAAGTTAAACTTTACGGTTGGTGGTATAAATCCCTAGTGTTCCTTTAAAAGGGATCTATAAGGGTACCTTTAAGGGGTTCCTTTAAGGGATCTATAGGGTTTATAGGGCTGATGGTATAAAGCCTGCATTACCTTAAGAACCCTGAACTATGGGAGCTATGGTCTATTCCCTATTATGGGCAATGCAGGATTTCTATCATCAACAGTATCAAGCTTTATGAACGCCCCATGTAAAAGTTGGTGTACAGTCTTGGATTTTTGGGCAGTTTTTGACAATCCGGTAAGACCAACCCTGCCATTCCTTAAACGAATAGATATATTAAACCCGCAGATGACGAGGGACCCCCTATACTACATCCTGAACCTGAAGCACCTAAACCCCAAACTCCTAGACCCACAACCGTAAACCCACTCAAGCCTACTTGGAGGATCATGGGACTTAGTAAGTAAGGTTATAAGTACTTTAAGACTTTAAGTGGTGTTATAAGTGAAGTTACCCTAATTATAACCCTAGTTACTAAGTCTCCTGCCCCTCCAAGTACAATTCGGTTTGACTGAGGAATGCTCGCAGCAACTTTTCCCGGCAGTTTGCGTGGACGTCTCTGCTGGAACCATTGCCAGGTCTCCCAGTGGGGGCATTGTTCGACAGAGATTCGTTTACGGTTGTACTAGGGCTCCATGGGTTCTAGATGGATATTCTATCGGTTTTATAGGACTCGATTCCTGGGTTGGGGTGTTGAATGTAGATTCTTGAACGCGTGTATTAGGGTTTCACATGGTGTATACGAATGGTTTAGTGATTTATCCGGGTCTTTTCCTAGGCTAGTGTGAATCCTCGATTCTGTAAGGGGTATATTGGGGTTCGATAGGGTTTATCGGGTACTGTAGTGGTTCCACCCTACGATTTGCATAGGTTTTATTAGCCTGTTATGTTCCCCGTCACCCATTTCACAGGGTGCTATTTCTGGGTTAGATTGGATCCTGGACTGCCTTCCCCCAAGGGTCCATGGGACCCAATAACTAGGTACTCGGTTTTAGGGTGGTAGCGGTAGTTATGCAGATTAAGTTTTTTCCCTAAAGCCCTAAACCCTAAACCGTGGAGAGTGTGTGATGTTTAGATACTTGGACCCTTGGGGTTCCGCCATCGCAGAGATGGCGGAGGTTTCCGGGATTGCTTTGCAGGGCTTTGTAAATGCAGAGTTCTACAAAGCCGTTCAAAGGACCTCATCATTAGGCATAACGATGGTTCAGGGGTGGTGCTCTCGTTCTTTCTTTGCTTCCGTGCAGCACTAAACTGGGAGTTTCCGAAAATAGGGGACCTAATGTAGTACCATAAGAAGCAGGATCCTTGTTATAAGGACCCCAAAATAAGGTACCCCTAATTTTCGGAAATCCGTGCTGTTTCTATTCTCTTGCTGCCTGAGGTTCTCACCCTCGGTGCCGTGGATCGAGCGGACATTTCCTCAGCTTCAGAAATTCAAGAGTTTAGGGATCAG